CTTTCTTTCTTTCTTTCTTTCTTTCTTTCTTTCTTTCTTTCTTTCTTAGCAGCAAAGTTTTCAGATGTAACGATCTGGTTATAAGCATCTAATTTTCCCCCTACTTTCTTGAGCAAAAGGGGTAATGAAGGAGATGGAAAATTCCCATTTTGCATATCAAGCACTCTTTTTTAGTTAATGTATTTAACTTCTCTTACTACTGGGGTCCAGTGTCCAGCATCTGATTGGTTTAGTTGAGCAGCTGTGTAAATGCTCTAAATCCATCCATCCATTATTTTCAGATCCAAATCTTTGCCTCATTCATACTGTAGCTTGATACCGAGCTACAGATTACATTGTTGTTGTTCAAACTGCCAATTTGTGGTGAACTTTGATTCCCAGAATCCCCCAGCCAGCCAAAGTCTAGATAAATATATATTTGGACCAGGTCATGTTATGCATCTTAAAGAGGGGGAGGGGGCTCTATTGAGTTCATTTGTCTCTTCTCCAACTTTGAAACGCTCACAGGGAACCAACAAGCCAAGATTAAATATGCAAATTGCAGACCTTGCTTGAAATGCGTCCAGGCCATTTCAAGGCCTACCAGGCAGGCAAAATCTGGGTAAGGGAACTCGAATGTGTGAACTGGTTTCTAGTCAGAATTGACAACCCTTCACAGGGCTTTATAAAGTCAAAATTTGCACTTAGGACTAGTGGGGTGTTTGCACTTCTGGAATATCCTGGATTTATGGCCTGCGATGGGGAAGGGATCTTTAATACAGAAAGTCCCCAATCCACAACCATTATTTTAGTGATCATTCCACATTTTTTTTTTTGCATTGCCGTATCCCAGGGGTGTCCAACCTTGGCAACTTTAAGACTTGTGGACTTCAACTCCCAGAATTCTCCACTGGCTGGAGAATTCTGGTGGGTTGAAATCCACAAGTCTTAAAGTTGCCAAGTTTGGAAACGTCTGCCATATCCCTATGATCACGTGATCAAAATTTGGAGGCTTGGCAACTGACTCATATTTATGACGTTGCAGTGTCCCTTAACCACTTTCTGCCACCTTCTGACCGTGAAAGTCAATGGGGAAACCTGGATCGACTTAACCCCCATGATACTAACTTAACAGTTGCAGTGATTCACTTAAACAATTGTGTCAAGCAAGGTTATAAGATGGAGCAAAACTCACTTTGCAACTGTCTGGCTTAGCCATGGATACCATTGTGGTTTTAAGTGGAGGATTCCCTGTGTTACACAAGTGTGAATAGAGCCCAGTTCACCGCCATTCTTAAAAAAGGATTTTTAAAATACACATTTCTTTTAAAATTACTAATTGTAAAGACCGCAAGTCTTCTTCACAGCACAAATCTGGCAGAGGTTTGGTAATTAACCAAGCACCTTTCTCTCTCCAGAGGTGTGAAAGTTGGGCTCCTTTAGGGTCGTCTGAATCAAACATGGGCAGTGTGCGTGTGTTAATTCCACTAAACATAACTCAGCCAGCTACAGATATTCTACGATCCTTGCCCCATCCCAGGCAGAGATTCCCCCCCAGGCAGCCCCCTCTGGCTGCAACCCGGAAGCCTTTGCCCTGCCTGCAGTAAAATCCCAAAAGGGAGAAAGGCGACGGGAAGCGCTGGCGGGGGTGGGGGGTCTTGAACAGGACCCACGGACGCCGGCGAGACATTCCTGCAAGCGAGAGGCCCACGCGCGCACCCCGGCGTGTGAATCCCCTGGCCGCCACGGATCCAGCCAATCCCGGCGCTCTCCTTTCCTCTCCGGGAATGGAAGAGAAGGGAGGCTAGTCTGCTCCTGCCCGTCCCCTTCTCCTCCTCCCCTCCTCCTCCTCCCCTGGCTGTTCCTGCCGCTGCCGCTGAGCGTGGCTCCGCCAGGGAGGAGGACGAGGAAAGAGGGAGGCCGGGCAGGAAGCGGGCCGGGCTGTCTCTGCCTGAGCTCCCTGGTCACCTCCTGCGTCAGCGCACAGGAGTTTTCCACTGACGAAAAAGGGCAGCGCAAGCAGCTGGAGGAGGAGCGGCGGCAACAGCAGCGGCGGCGGCGGCGGCGCCCTCCAGATCAGAGCCGCGCCAAGCACGGACAGGCAGCTCAGCGCTTCTCGCGGCTGCTGCTGCTGCTGCTGCTTCGGCAGCGATGTGCGCCTGAGCTGCCGCTCTGCCAGCCGGATTTCCCCGAAGCCGCTTCTGCGCTCCTCCGGCGGATGTCCCTGGAGCCTCGAGCGGCGCCGGTAAGTGTCTCCGTCGGGGCGCCTGGACACTGCAGCCGGAGGCGTAGTCGCGACGCCGCCGCCACCACCTCTGGAGACTCTCCTGTGCCCGAAGGAGGGGGCGCTCCGGGGTCAGCGGGGAAGGGTCCTGGCTGGCAATGCGGGGCAGGAGGAAGAGGGAAGGGATGCCCTATCTAGGACGGGGACAGTTCAGGTTTAGCCGGAGGGAACTCTCGTCTAGTCCGGGGATCCGAGAAGCGGGAGGGAAAAGGCACGTCGGGATTGGCACAGGGCCGAGGGCCAGCTACCCATTGGAGGTGGCGGAGGATACCCGACCAGAAGGGGGCGCTGCAGAGGATGGGACAACGAGCGTTCCCACCGTCGGAAGGGAATCCCAAGGAGTCTGGCCAGAGCGTTGAAGTCGGGGCGGGGGGCGGGGGTGACCTTCCGCAGGCAGGCACTTGTTTGAGAAAGTGGGTGTGCGGCTTTGGGAGTCCCGATTCCCAAGCGGTGGGAGGGATCCCCGGGGCCCCTGGCAAGAGGCTGGCTTTGACCCAAAGGCTTGCAGGCTCAGCGGACGGAGGAGGGTCTGTTTGAACTAGACAAGGTTGCCTCCTTCTGGCGGGCCGGGAAACGGTTTTCTGAGTCGGATCGCGATCCTTGGCCCTACGGGCGGCGATCCGAAGCGTTCGCTTGTAGCGTTTCCCTCCCGGTGAGTGCACGATTCAGAGCAAAGCAGCTCACTTTTACCTGCGGGAGGTTGTGGGGGGGGGGGCGGGGGGGGGGGGGGGGTGCCGGGCCGGTGGTGGGGGTGTGCGGAAGGGGATTAGTAGGACTCGCTCCAATTCCTTGGAACTGGGTGTTCGGGTCTCTTCCAGCTGGGATCCACCCCGAGATATCTTTAAGATCGGGGCTGTTTCTGGCGGGACAAACAATGTTATTAGACTGGTGTGGATTTTCTGGACCCAGGAGGGGGCTGATAGTACGGCTTAGAATGAATGAAGGTGGGGCGGTTTTTTCTCTTCTAAGGGCTCTCTTCCTGTTGGTCTCCTCTCGTGTTTGTCATAGCTACTCCGGGGAAATACTGTGTGTGTGATTCCTGGGAAGTGACTCACCGAGCAGCAGTAAAGTCAGCCCTTCTTCTAAACATGGGGGTTTGCCAGTTAGCCAGACTAGCGTCATTTAGCAGTGACGGAATGGTGAGGTTGCTGGAACTCGGCTGCGGTGATGTCACAAACTAACAGGAACCCCAGACCTTAGCCCCAGATGTCCGGCTAAGGATTTCTAGCTCTTTCCCACTGATGTCCAAGTGGGGGCCAGAATCTGGCCTCGTCTCTGGCAATTTATCAGGTTATTTCTAATCTGTACCAAGTCCTGGTCAAAAAGTATTGCTTGCTTTTGTGCTTAGGTTGGCATAACTCTGAACAGAGATTTTAGTTTGTGGCACAATTTGGTGGGGGTGTTATACATCAAGTTTGAGTGCCATGAAGGAGGGCTGTGAATTTTAACTTACTCAGAATAAACCTGCAGGAATGGTTCTCAAAGTAAACTAATTCTCCGAGTCCAATGGAGTTTTGTTGTGATTTGAGCACATTGACAGGAGATGGGAAATGTTTCAGCCTATGAACGATGGTTATGTTGCTTTCCTTGATAGTAAGATCTGTAGACCCACATAACGTGACACAAATGGAACTAACCATGGGAAAGTCCCTTCTTTCTTTCTTTCTTTCTTTCTTTCTTTCTTTCTTTCTTTCTTTCCTTCCTTCCTTCCTTCCTTCCTTCCTTCTTCCCTTCCTTCCTCATCCTCCCTCTCTCCCCCTTCTCTCTCTCTCTCTCTTCTGATTTTTTTTTTAAAGTCCAGTAACAGTTTCTGTTCCAGTTGCTCTTTATAAGGCTAATACAATCTCTCTTCTTTGTAACTACAGCAACACCTGCTGGTACTAATGAAGATTAACCATAATACCATTGTTTGCTAACCTGTCCTGTATGTTAGATTTTCTGAGCTGAAGAGTATCAGCTCTCCCGAAAGTTTTAACACTTAGAGCATTTATAGGTACTCCCGCTCTCTGTTCATTGGGTTGAAAAATCCTTTTGATGCTGTGTAGAAACTTATAAAATGAAATATTGTCTGTAGTCAGGATATTTATACAGTATATAGTTCTGATTTCATCCTTTAAAACTCTTTGGTTACCTTTGTTTACCTATTTAAGGGTACAGAATGATGAAGAATCAGAGATTGCTTAAACATTCAGTAATTAGCATATAGTTGGATTGCACAAGGACTGATTATTAAATACTGAAAAGATTTAAAAATCCACAGCCTTTTACCTAAAATACATTTGTTTGTGCTGTTGCTGAAGTCATTCTTTTCAGATCAAAACTGAGTGTTATTAACATTCAGCACACGAAATTTTCCATAATAACCATTTTACTTTTATTATCTGTTTTTTCCCCCTTGTTTCATTTGGGAAACTGAGGCAGAGTTTGCCATAAATCAGATGTCATCTTTCAAACAGGTTTTGACTATACAGTAAACCATGTTGAAGGCCCATCAATTTACATTTTAAAAAACCTTAAGACTCAGAAAAAAAACAGAACTTTTTTTTTCTTTGTGCACCTTCATTTTTCTGGCCAGAGGGAGTGCCAATACCCAAAAGAAAACCTGCTGATTTTGTAATATGGGGGGGGGGAGAAGGGGGGCTTTTGAGTTGCATCATGTACACATTGGGCACCTTTAGGCTTGAAAGCATTTTAGGTCTCAAATATGGTAATCTTTTAATGACCACTAGATGACAGCAAAGAAGTCTTTAAAAAAACGCCTCTCTTTGCTGCCATCTGTTGGCTATTTGCACTTCTGCAGCTTGGCTCTCAGAGTCCTTTTCCTCTTTTTTTATGCGTTTTGACCCCAACAACTGCCTAGATTAGCCCTTGCCGGTTTTTTAGTGAGGCTTTTTAGAACTGATTTGCCATTGCCTGCTTTCTAGGGCTGAGAGAGAGTGACTGGCCCAAGGTCACCAAGCTGACTGTTAGAAATGGCCCAGTGTATGTATTTATAGTTCCTGTGAATTAGGGGACAGATTGAAGGGGGAACGAAGAAAATATGTGGATCCCTCTATTAAGGGGTGAATTATTCACTTCAGGACTTTTAAACCACAAGAAAGGCCTTGGATAAAACTTCTTGTAGCTCAGCCTCTGTCAGTGTCACTATCCCCATTTTACAGAAAGTAAATTGGCTGTGTTGGGGTGACAAAGCTGCTGAATTATGTCTGCAGCAGAGGTCATGAAGTGAACCCAGAGCTTTTGGGGCCTGAGGGACATGACCTTTGGATTTATTACATGTGGTCCTCGACTTACAACTATTCACTTTGCTTCTGCTCAAAGTTGAAACAGTATTGAAAAAAGTAAATATGGACCCTATTTCATACTTACAAGGTTTGCAACGTCCCCGTGATTACATGGTCAAAATTTGGACGCCTGGCAACGGGTTCATTTTTATGACAATTGCAGTGTCTTGGGATCCTGTGATTTCCCCTTTTATGACTTTCTAACAACCAAAGTCAATGGGGAAACCAGATTCATGTAACATCTGGGTTGCTCACTTAAGAACTGCAATGATTCACTTAACAAAACTGTGGCAGGGAAGGTTGTGAAATGAGGCTCACTTAACAGTTGCCTAGCTTCATGATGGAAATTTTGGGGTCCACTATGGTGGTAATTCGAAGACTACCTGTATTATAACCTGGAAAAAAATAACAACATTGCGCCTAGTTTATCCTGCAGCAGCATCTTAGTCCTGGATCCACCTGAAAGTCTTCTTGTAACAGGTGTAGTCTCCACTTACCAAATGCATTTTGGACCAGAATTTACCCAATTTACAACTGTCATGGTTGCAAGTCGAGAACTACCTGCAGTTGAGTAATAAGTGTCTGCAACGAGACAGGGAGCACCAGGGACTCTGTGGGTAGGTGTGTGCATGTCCTAAAGTATCGCTTGGCCTTCTAAACTGAAACCCTGCACTGTCCTAACAGGTGTGTCTGTTTGATGTCAGAACAGCCCTGTACAATAACAGACTATAATAGAATAGCATAGTTGGTGGGATCTTAGAGGTCTTCTAGTCCAACCCCCTGCTTAGGCAAGAAACTCTTATTTTACTTCAGATAGTGGCCCAATCTCTTCTTAAATGCCTCCAATGATGCAGCACCCACATCTTCAGGAGGCGAGTTGTTCCACGGATGAATTATTCCCGCGGTCAGGAAATTCCTCCTTAGTTCTAGGTTGCTTCTCTCCTTGATTAGTTTCCATCTGTTGCTTCTTACCTGCCTTCAGGTGCTTTGGAGAATGGATTGACCCTTTCTTCTTAATGGCAACCCCTCAAATATTGGAAGACTGCTCTCATGTCACTTTTAGTCCTTCTTTTCATTAAACTAAGCATATCCAATTTCTGCAACTCTTCTTCATGTGTTTTAGCCTCCAGTCCCCTAATAATCTTCGTTGCTCTTCTCTGCCCTCTTTCTGCAATTTCAACATCTTTTATTTTTTTTACATTGTGGCAACCACAACTAGTTGGGGTATTCCAAGTGTGGTCTTACCAAGGCCTTATAAAGCGACGTTAACCCTTCCCACCTATTTTCAGAGTGTTTGTGGGGACATGTTGTGCCTTATTAAGAATTCTGCTGTTGGTCTTCTGTTCTTGTGAAATGCTGATATGAATTTAGCTGGTGGTTGTGATTGGCTTTTAAGCATTTTAAGGTGCAGGTGCTTTCTTCTCACCTCCCCTCTATTTTTGGAAGCAAAGTCATTGTACATTAAAAAAAGAAAGAAAGAAAGCTTTACTCTAAAGCAGGGATTTCCAACCTTGGCAACTTTAAGCTTTGCTGGCTGGGGAATTCTGTGAGTTGAAGACCCTTAAGCTTAAAGCTGCCAAGGTTGGAGATCCCTGTTCTAATGCATCATCAGTGTTTTGCTCTGAAAGATTCTCCAGCTGGTTGTGTATTATTACGAAAGAGAAACACAGGAAGAGT